TTTGACTTCAAATATTTTCATAGATCATGCCAAATTGTCCTCTGTCGCCTTCGGCTCGGCTGCAGTGACTTTAACGTTGATAAGTTTAGACGACATGTATCAGACATACCAGACTGCACTTGTGGATATCACCTTGAAGATGCAATTCACTATTTCTATACCTGTCCAAAAATACGATAATATCAGAAACACTGTGTATTTCTACACACATGGGTATGTTCTAAAAATGATATTACATTGCTGTAGTTAAGCAGTTCTACAAACATGACTCTTCTTAAATCAGTTCACGACATCATTGTCAAAAGCAAAAGGTTTGAGTAGCTTAAGTTTATGCATGTAGCAAAGGAAAACTGCATTACCTTATTTCACAGACACCACTTGCTTCAGTGTATTGGCTTTGTGTATTTCATTTGTGCATTTTGTATGTTTATGTTCAGCACTCTCTTATATATATCCAGCTGTTGTTAAGTTGTTACCTGGAGAAGTATTTACATAAGCAAGTTTTGCTTGTTTACCGATCCAGATTTCTTTTGAAATAAAAATACGTTTAAGCCAACACAGCTTACCTTAAAACACATGATAGTCAACTATTCAAAAAGGGGCACACATCTCTGGCTTCTTCTCGGGTGTCGGACTCAAACTCAAACTCATTTATTCTTAGAAAAACATGATATACAATTATCTACAATTTTTATTATGTACAATTTAAAAAAATAAATAAACATAGGATACGTGGATACTAATACAATTTACCAATTGTATTGTACACAATGTTAAGGAATTTAGATAGGCCTTTTAGATCTCTTACACTGTTAGTGGTCATAATTTTCTTAAATGTTTGGAAACTTAAGATATTGCTTATTTAAGAGTTCATATCGCTGTTGGTGAAAAGCTTCACATCGGCATAAATAATGCAATTCATCTCCCACAGCGATAGAATCACAGAGTGGACACTGGCTATCTTCCCTGGGAATGTTCAGCCATCGACCAGTTTCAACTGGTAATCCTTGGTTAGAAGTTCTGCCTTTTAGTATTGGGAGAAATATTGATTTTGAGAGCAGTAGATATTTCTCAAATGAAGGTTGATTCTTTAGGTAATACGACCTTTGGATTTCCGCTTGGGCTTACTAGCTGCCGTGAGTCAATTTGCTCGCTAACGCAACCGAGCGTGACAAGAGACTTGGCTACCCATCTGCAAGGACAGCTAAATAAACTTACGCATTTTTGAAAACTGATTGGTTACCCGTGATCTATGAAGATTTCGACAAAGGGCGCATGGTAATTAATTTCCTAGCCTAAACAAACAGACAAGTAACGGCGAAACCTCATCGGATGTCGTTATTTGGAAATACCCCTGATGGTTACAGTTTAATAATAAAAAAAGTATCCCTGAGTGAAAGCATTTGCGGATTTCGGATTGCGTGGATGATACAATTACTACTCCCTTGTTGTCATCCACATTTTCTGGTATAACCCTACACTTGTGTATTAGTCGTAATTCACTTGCTGCTCAGTTAATGAATTTATAACATTTATACTTAGTTGTAGCACACCTCAGATTACCCGATAAAGGTTCAAATTTGGTCTTTCTTGTACCTGGGGTAATTATTCAATCTAAATCCAGGTTTGAAGTGAGGTGGAATGTGAGTTATGTAATATGCACGTGGCAGCCCAGCAAGAGATGTATGATCAGTTGCTTTACTTTTTTTGTAAATCAACGGATCATTCCCAGACATCAAAGGATCAACAGGAAATACGTTGATTGATTAATTACTGTTATCTTGCACAGTGGATATGTCAAAAGTAAGTGTTTACATGTGAATGTAGGTTACTAAACCTAGGGAACACACTCATATCATGGCGTGAAGTACAGATGTAAAAACAACATACTTTGTTCAAAGGGTAACCGATAATACACTGACTGGTTGTTTCATTGTTATCGAACTCAATGGATGTTTTTAAGAACCGTGGACATTATAAATATAGTTGTCACGTTGGCTTTCTCAGCTGACTTGGCACCTATGTGAAACAACTGAAACAAACTAAGTGATCAGTTAAGAAACGAACACGGGTTATAATATCCGATACATTTAAATAACGTTTAAAAACGATATATTTAAATATTTTAATATATTTCATATATATTCCAAATATTGTTTCCAAATAATTATTATTAAAGTATTTGATTCTCACAGAGACATTTGACATCGAATAAGTATTTTTGTACAGCTGCATACGCAATGGATACTGTTCCTTTATGTTGATATTCCCGGATACATTATAACTTTGGTAGGTTGTAATAATGATATTTGCATTTTGTTTTCATTCATTCGCTGCTGCTTTGAACAGAATCATTCTTGTTCCTTTCCGTTTGGTTGGGAAGTTTTTCGATGCGCGATAGACGTTGTTTTCACAAGTATTTTCTTTCTTATAAGCGTTTATATGTTACAGTCAATGTGTAAAATATGATTCACTCAGGCAATTTATTAAATATCTAAATATTTCAATCATTTTACAAATTGACTGAATAATCTGTCCATTTATTTAACCGACTGACTAAAAATGATAAAGACGATCAGAAGAACTTAAACACATCACAATATATTAATTATGCTAAGAAAAGAAGCCAAACAATACAGAACTGTACTTGGTGATGATATTAAACATAAACAAATATTTGGAATTCGTTATCATATTAATACAGATGGACATATTTTTCAGTTAATTTGTAAAAGAACTGAATATTTAGGCATTTAATAAATTTCCTTAGTGAAATCTGTTTACATTTTGAGTGTAAACATATACACACGGTAAAATAAGCAATGTTCAGATGAAATATTTACTTTGTGTTGCAAGTCAAAATAATGTACATGAAGATCGCACAATTACCAAGCAAGTGACTTATCAAAACTTCATCACCATTACCGATGCTCCCCACAAATATACCTCCATTTCCAAAACTGTATTTAATTTTTGTTGATCAATGTGACCATACGTCCTACTATCAATAAAAATGCGCTTACGAATGGCGAGCACAGGTCGCGAACAAGTCTAGATTTCTGCTATATCATCCGGGTACTCACTGGGAAAATACAGTAATGCACAGACAACAACTACTCCCGCGGAATTGCTTTAGATCAGTGCTCCTTTGTACGTTGAAATACTATATATTGTGAATGCCAAAATGATGTATCAAGGATCAAGTAGAAGATACATTGACAGTAGCGCTGGGAGTTTATTCAACAGACCCGTGAAAATAACACTGCTGTATCTTATTATTTATTTTAGATGACGCAGTCAAAGCTCACTGTTTACTTCTCCTGGCGGCCATTATCGAACGACCAGCTAAAACACAACCCCGCGCTTACGTCTACAGGTCTCTTCCTGTAGTACGGTAATCAGTATTCTCTCCCTCAAGTGTATCCTCAATGATATAACCCACCCTCATTAATTACATGCTGCTCTTTTCCAGCCTCACGGCTATGGAGCTGAGATAAAGAGTCCAAGTCATCATAAAGTAATTAGGGTCCAATAAAAACAATGCGCCGCCAAACCTCATACATATTATCACTGAAAGTCGTACTACAGACGGTTAATGTCAAATCACAATAAAAGCATTTCAATGGCAATAACATGTTCCAGGACCATGTATTCTCTTAACACCATCGGATTTAGAAGGAATGCTCGTATAAAACAAGACATATCTATTTAATCACAACAGTATTCATGTTATTCCCACAAAAAAACACAGGGGCGGTAGGGTAGCCTCGTGGTTAAAGCGTTCGCTCTTCACGCCGAGACCTGGGTTCGATTCCCGACATGGGTACAATGTGTGAAGCCCATTTCTGGTGTCCCCCGCCGTGATATTGCTGGAATATTGCTAAAAGCGGCGTAAAACCATACTCACTCACTCACTCACTCACAAAATCACATAAAGAAAGGAGACATTAGCAAAGATATGTGTATTATCATTTTTCGTTAGGATAACAAAATTTTCTCTCCTTGTTACCACCTCCAGGTTCAGCTTAACACGGGTCCTCCTTTGGTCAAAAGTTTGTTCCCCCTCTAATGAGTGTGTCACGCGTTGCACACGAGTGGCAGACGGGGTGCACACCCGTGTGCAACGCGTTGCACACGGGTCTCACACGCGTGACCAACCCGATGCACACTGGTTGCGTAACGCGTTGCCCATACGTGTAAGGGGAATGAACTTCTAGGCAGTAGTGTACTTCCGCAGCTCAGAACAGCATTTAAGTGTCAAAAGTGAACCAGGTCATAGACAGTACCTTTGTTACTTTGGTTAACATCACAAATACCAGTATGGTAAATCGAGGTTCATATTGAATTCAAATCTTTGATATGCAGATCCCTGCACAACTAAGGGGCGCAACTCTGCAAAACTACTCCCAATGCCATAGGTCACCTGTTCTTCCCTTTTTATAACTGGGTAATTATTGCAAAAGGTTATTCCTGGTCACTGCTACCAACATACATGTACATCTTATTGACTGTTCAGAGTTCCTTACTTGGTGAAGTAACAGATAAATTGTTGCTTATTTTCCGTCGTGTAAATTGACAGATTTTAGATATGACAGACATGTGTTTCTCATTTTGAGGCCATAGAACCATAATGTATCCACCATCTAGGTGCAACATCAGTATTGGTTTATAGTGCAACATAAATAAATGTATATGTTTACTTTAGTTACAGAGGAGATAGTATCAGTAAACTTTTTTTCTTTGGTGATATACGGACAAATCCTTTCAGCAAAAGTTACATTGTTATACCTTTCAACATTTACATTAAGCTTATACTCTAGTTATGCAGTTTTCAACATTTAAAAGTGATATTGTTACCTTTTGGATTAACTTATTAACCTTTCCATGATTGTCACACCACACACAACTGTCATTTGTTTTCAGTTTCTTGGATTTCTGTAATTTCTTGATCTAAGGCAATACTTTGTAAACAAGTCATACACTTGTTGTATCTACTTCAGGATGTGGCGGGCGCTGCACAGGCTCGTCTGGTTCTATCTCATCACCTAACTACCCTGGCAATTACGGCAACTACCTGATCTGTTCCTACGTTATTGATGCCGGAGAAACATTGATCACTCTCGTGTTTGAAGATTTCAGTACGCAGTCATGGTACGATGTTGTCAAGGTATGTATAGCTGTAATTTTGTTAAGATGTATACAAGGTAGTGTGCGCTGTTTCTATAAGTCAGTTAGAACCAAGAAGGAATATAGCATGGTAGTATGATTGTACCAGTAGTGGCAAGTGACCTTGTCGATTTCACAGCTCGTGTGTTGATAGTGATGTTAAGCACACCATACGAAGGTCCATTTAAAAGATACTGAGAGCTTGAGCTAAATGCAACGTACCAAATTCCTCAAATAATGTGTTTTGCCTGAGATAGTCACATCGAATTTGGAAGATGCATTGTGCGATTTTTTCCTCTTTACTGGAATAATGTTCGCCCGTTTTTCTGATATTACTTCATCCATATAGCTAGAGAACCGTTTCATGGACATCTTGACAGATAGCCACCTTACGACATAAACAATCGAGTTATCACCAATGTATTACAATCGGATATGCTCTGTTAAGTTAGCTAAACTACATTAAATAGGTGTTCAGTTTCGAGATAATATTATCATATAATTGTATTCCAATTGGTTAAAGTAAGGAAGTTCGACATTTCCCAGTGGGGTATATAAAATTTGTCAGCAGGGCCATGGTGAAATAAAGGCCAATTCAGTAGCCAATCAGAAACGAGTATCGTAATGCAAAGTAGGGCATATTCTGGAATATGCCAGTCTCCATAGATGACACAAGAGGACATCGATGCAGTGCATCAATGTTTCCCACACAAAGCTTGAGATGTAGAGCGGTTCTCTGAGTGATATCAAAGAGGCTTGGCCAGATTTGGGGCAGAAGGAAAACATGCAAAAACATCGTGGCGATGTGATACAGGCAAACATCTACTGTATATACAGGGGTGAAAAAAATCCATATATCTGGTCTCTTTTATTTCCAGCCCAGTGGGGGTGGTAGTGAATTGGATATGTAGCAATTGTTTAACGATTAATCTATATACTGGAACCTTAAGTTTGATTTTGCAGAGCCGGGCATAAATTCTGGTTCTTATGCATGAAAAAACAGGTAATCAAGGAGGCGAGCACAATTTATGACCAAGGGAATGCCTATTTTTCGAGGCAAATTTGGGTATAGGCAAAACGGGACTCAACTCTCCATTTATAAACTGCAGGTCTATGACGCCTCCAACAACCTCCTTGTCCATCTAAGTGGAGATAGAGGGGGCTACACTGTCCAGTCAGCCATCTACTACCGTGTTGTGTTTACTACGAGTCCTCGGGGTGTCAGGAAGGGATTTAAGGCTGTATGGACAGGTATGTAGATGTTTATATCATCTTGTTAACTTTGTAATTTGTCTCCTTTCACATCTTTTCATCATCACCTTGCAGCTGATACAGGTTTGTTTACTGTAAAAAAAGTCCAGCTGTACACGCTTGTAAATGCTTTGTATTGATGAGCTATACAAAGTCTTAACAATTTCGTATTGATGAGATATACACAGCATAAACTACTTTGTAAAGATGCTGATTACGTTCAAAGTTGTTTTTCGTTGTATATGTTGGTGGAGAGAGATAATTGCTATGAATTGTTATATAATTGTTCTGTATGTGCAACATGCAGTGTTTCGAAGTGTCCCAATGTTTTTAGTTGTATGTATTGGAAAAGGGGTATAATTGCTATGGATTGTTATATAATTGCTCTGCATGTACAAAATGCAGTGTTTTGAAGTCGACTTATATTATTAGCAAATTTTAAAATACAACTGATTAAGTAGAGCATAACATTACTAAAATTTGCCCTTAAGTTTTAATTAGTACTCCACTGTGTTAGCGGGATTGCGTACTCTCCTCGCACTGGTATTGACAGGTAAGTGATTGAGGCGTCTGGTACTTTTCCTGGAGCGTTGCACGGTATGTGAGTAGACATCATGGTCTAATGCATGTAAAGGATTAGCAGACAGAGGTGATTGCACTGATGGTGATATCTACATTATAATCACTTGAAAGTGTGAAAATGGGTTTGTGCTGAGCTGTCGGTCTGTACGGTATGCCGCTATGTGGATAGTAACATGCTGTTGTGCACATAGCAGACTAGCAAACGGAGTGGATTACTCAGGCGGTGATAGCTTTATCATGATCACTTGAAAGTGTTGAAATTGGTTTGTCCTGAGTTGTCGGTCTGTACGGTATATATGAATAGTCATCATATCCTGATGCAATGGACGTGGAATTTCGCTTATTATTACCATATTGAAATAAAGTTGAGCTCAGCTTAGTCTTGTTCAACAAGCTGCGATCGTAAATTTAATGTACAACAGACACATGGAAATATAAAGAAATGTTACAAATACAAATTATTAACAAGGGAAAAATGAAAACGTTTAAATAGACGCTCTTTGGAACACGAAATGAATTCTAGACATATTGAGATGTTACTGATATTTTTTACTTGTAATATTAAATGTCAGTATTCCGGTTATGAAAATAATTTAAACCACAAGAATATATATATATATATATATATATAAATATATATACCTCGTCACCACACATGGAAAATATAATTACAGTACAGATTTCATATACTACACCATCTGTGAACAATTTCACAAACACACCCTTTTCCGAGCTGCACTTGCATGTTTGCATTGAGCATGCTTGTACCGGGGGTCGGTTTGCTAAATATGCAGCATGCACATGGCCTCTTTTGGCGTATGTTATGTTGGTAGATACAGCTAAAATTTGGTTTTAGGCATAAATTAGGCTTCATTTAGACCAGGGGCGGTAGGGTAGCCTAGTGGTTAAAGCGTTCGCTTGTCACGCCGAAGACCCGGGTTCGATTCCCGACAGTGGTACAATGTGTGAAGCCCATTTCTGGTGTCCCCCGCCATGATAGTGCTGGAATATTGCTAAAAGCGGTGTAAAACCTCACTCACTCACTCACTCACTCACTCACTCACTCACGCACTCACGCACTCACTCACTCACTCACTCACTCACTCACTCACTCACTCACTCTGACCAGCCAGTGAAATGCCCAAGCGTCCAGTGGTTTGTCCTGAGTTGTCGGTCTGTACGGTATATATGAATAGTCATCATATCCTGATGCAATGGACGTGGAATTTCGCTTATTATTACCATATTGAAATAAAGTTGAGCTCAGCTTAGTCTTGTTCAACAAGCTGCGATCGTAAATTTAATGTACAACAGACACATGGAAATATAAAGAAATGTTACAAATACAAATTATTAACAAGGGAAAAATGAAAACGTTTAAATAGACGCTCTTTGGAACACGAAATGAATTCTAGACATATTGAGATGTTACTGATATTTTTTACTCGTAATATTAAATGTCAGTATTCCGGTTATGAAAATAATTTAAACCACAAGAATATATATATATATATATATATATATATATATATATATATATATATATATATAAAAATATATATACCTCGTCACCACACATGGAAAATATAATTACAGTACAGATTTCATATACTACACCATCTGTGAACAATTTCACAAACACACCCTTTTCCGAGCTGCACTTGCATGTTTGCATTGAGCATGCTTGTACCGGGGGTCGGTTTGCTAAAAATGCAGCATGCACATAGCCTCTTTTGGCGTATGTTATGTTGGTAGATACAGCTAAAATTTGGTATTAGGCATAAATTAGGCGTCATTTAGACCAGGGGCGGTAGGGTAGCCTAGTGGTTAAAGCGTTCGCTCGTCACGCCGAAGACCCGGGTTCGATTCCCGACAGGGGTACAATGTGTGAAGCCCATTTCTGGTGTCCCCCGCCATGATAGTGCTGGAATATTGCTAAAAGCGGTGTAAAACCTCACTCACTCACGCACTCACGCACGCACGCACGCACGCACGCACGCACGCACGCACGCACTCACGCACTCACTCACTCACTCACTCACTCACTCACTCACTCACTCACTCACTCACTCACTCACTCACTCACTCACTCTGACCAGCCAGTGAAATGCCCAAGCGTCAAGTGCCTCCAAACCAAAGATGGCAAATTATTGGTATGCACCAGACTGGTATGTCATGTCGTGCTATTTGGGCACAACTGAACATTAATCACACTGTCATCAGCAGGCTAATACGTAAGCATACTGCTCCCGGTGAAGTGAAGGATGTACCGAGGTCTGGACGTCCGAAAAAAAACCAATGACAGGGAAGATTGTGCTCTCGTACGCCAAGCTAGACGAAGCCCAAAGTCTACTTGTACACAGCTGCGACATGGATGGCATTCATACAACAGAGTGTCCATCAGCACCTTCAGACGACGCCTAAATTCTGCAGGATTGAAAGCAAGACGACCAATCAGACATCACAAATCAGCACCGCCATGCCCGTTTAGCCTGGTGCAAGGCACGTGCTCGCTGGAACCTGTGGACATTGAGCAGGATCCACTGGTCCAATGAAAGCAGAATTTTGCTGCATCATACACACGGGAGGGCGCGAGTTTGGAGGCAGAGAGGAACAGAATATGATTAGAGGAACATTCAAGCTGATGTTCCATTTGGGGGTGGATCCGTCATGTTGTGGGGGTGTCGTAAACTTGACCTCATCACAGTTCAGGGAACACTGAATGGACAGAGGTACCAGAACTTGATCCTGGACAGTGCTGTTGTGCCTCATTTCGATAAACATGCTCTCGCTACACGTCCAGTCTTCATGGACGATAATGCCAGACCACATCGTGCTCGAGCTGTTGTTCAGCATCTCCAACACAACACCATTGAGACACTACTCCTATTGAGCATTTGTGGGACATTTTGGGACGTAAGGTGAGAGCAAGGGATCCTCCAGTTCAGAACCTTCAGGAATTGACCCATGCATTGCATGATGAGTTGCAGCAGATCCCCCAACAGAGATTCAGACGTCTGGTGACCAGCATAAGACGGCGTGTAGAACATGTTATCCAAGTGCGAGGCGGTTACACTAATACTGAGTTAGCCAGTCATTGTGGACCTTACTAGTGTGTTCGACATTAATGAAATGTGAACTGTGTTGTGTGTCTGTTGTAGCGACTCCGGCAGCCATACTTATTTCACGGTGATTTTAGTGAACTTTAGTTTGCTGCAATTAAACCCTCAATTAGTGCTTAAATTCGGTCTTGTGTTGTCAATTTTCTGACTGAACGCTTACATGAGGCCATATAAACAGTTTAATGTGCTTTCCTAAGCACCATTTTTATGGGGTTGAAGATCCAGTTTTACTTTGTGAAAAAAGTGGTTGGTGCGATATTTATGACGAGGTGTATATATATAACCTTTTTACAAATTTAATACAGAGTAATTGAAATATGCAAAGATAAGATATCATCACAAGTATTATAATTGAAGCCTCTCCTTATGTTTTATTCCATGTTAAGTTTACATGGCCAGATTGGCAAACAAGCCTGGCTGGGTTAAATTAATGCCACTCTGGGTTAAAAAAGCAAAAAATATGCATACATATATATTGTTTGGTTCGGTTTGACACATGAATCAAGATAGCATTATAATGGCTTACACTGTTGTGGTCAGTCCATGATGAACACGATAGGATGTTACAGTGATGTGTGCTGCAATATTCCAGCTATATTCTAAATAAACGAGTCTTGACCAGATAATCCAGTGATTGACATCATGAGCATCGATCACTGCAGTTGGGAACAATGACATGTATCAACCAAGTTAGTCGCCTCTTACGACAAGCATAGTCGCCTATTACAGCAAGCATGTGTTGCTGAAGACCTATTCTTCCCTGGATCTTCACGGGTCCTGTGGTAAAGAATCGTGCGGTGTTGCCAAGGGACAGATATATGTAATGGTTTAAATGAATGGCCTCTGTTTGATTGCAATGCGGAAATATTATATTGCTTAATTCCAAAAATTGTAATATATTCATATTTGTAAAAAAGGTTTGTATGCATTTTATTGTATTTATTGTATCATCATTGTACAAAACTACTCGTAAAGTAATTGTACACTTATTGTATATATAGATGTTCTTATTTGTAAAAAGAGGCGGTTGGGTAGCCTTGTTGTTAAAGCTTTCGCTCGTCACGCCGAAGACCTGGGCTTGATTCCCGACATGGGTACAATGTGTGAAGCCCATTTCTGGTGTCCCCCGCCATGATATTGCTGGAATATTGCTAAAAGCAATAAACCATACTCACTCACTCATTATTTGTAAAAAAGCTGGCATATTCTGTATATTTATGTTTTGTCATTGTACAAAATATGTTGTATGTTTAACAGCAGTTACACATTGTATTATATTATTATTATGTAATAATTGAATTGTC